GTGAAACACTTAATCATCATCTTCAGGAGATTTAAACACCACCAAAATATTAAAGTCTAATGAGTTTTGGAATCCATTTCAGCCTCCGGAAACAATACTAACTTCAAACGGACCTAGTGCCTTCATACCAACTTCAATTTGGGTGATCTTGGACTTAATTGGAAAGCTTATCTCGCTACCTTTCAAACGCATCTGGTCTCATATCCAAATTCATTCCGAGTCAACGGGAATCGTCAAAACAAGGCAGTGTAATTGTTGAAACCGAACTTGGGCCCTATCTGGGAAGTGTCTCCCTTCACCTCCACGAATTAGCACTTAACCCTAGATCTATTTTCATTTATAAATGTCTACGTACACCCTTTAGAACAATTGAGTTTTGTTTAGTTGAATTTTGCCAAGTGCCATTCAACTTGTCTCTAGTCCTCGTTCTATTAGTCGGCGATTATAAATTCAAAGCCTCCAATAGTTGGTGTGTTGATTTGCCAGGTCGATTAGATCTACCACTTCAATATGTTTAATCAACTATTCACAATATTTAGATTGTATCTTATCTTGTTCTTGCAGTGTTCTCTCGTTTGCATTGCAGGGATCATCTACCGCACGTCACGGTTGGTACGACATCGTTTGTGGTGTAGTGATTGCACGGTGTTCTGGACTTGTTTTGGTTGGTAGCCACGTCGTAAACATTGTACTCGATCAAAGCAAGAGTTATCCCCTCGCCGGGAGATCGGGCCAAGAGAGAGAGAGAGCGCGATATTCTTTCTGGTATATCACCACCGAGTTGTTAGGTCCATTTTTCCATGCGTGTTCTGTTGGGTAGAATCCGGCGCCGTTCCATAGCTTTTGGGGACAAAGATTACTGCCTCCGTTTCAAAGAACACAAGCTCTGCTCCTGTCCTGTCACTGTATCAGTGTGGCTGTGAGTTCACGAGTAGTGGAATAGTGGAAAATAGCCCATCTTTTCTGAACTTCTGTAGGAAGAAAAATACGAGCATATCATCCGCTTTTTCTCATTCAGACCGGGAAAGAGAGGGAAGAGAAACTTCACAGATGTTTGCTGATCGATTGGGTGGCAGTGAAAGATACTACTTTCTTGCATAGCACTTTCAGAATAAGTTTATTTTTAATCCTTCCCGTTTGTCTCAAAACAAATTTACTTCGGTATTTGTTAACATATGAAATAAATACATTAGAAGCTGATAAAGAGAAAGATAATTATATCAAAATTTAATAAAATGATAGTATCATTTTTTATTGGTATGTGTGAAATATATATAAAAAATAAACTTATTTCTGGACGGTGGGATCAGTACATGGGATCTGATCCGACAAATTGCTGAGTTTGAAATAAAATTAGACCTAAAGCTAGCTGTATCGTTTTCTCATAGAATATGCCACCGCATATGGCACGTGTGACACGACATCAGAATTGTATCATCTTAATTAAGCTTTCCATGTACTGAAGATTCTTAACTTGAAACTGAAAGCATCACCATTTGAAGGTACAATTGATTCTTACTCAGTTATTTGTTCAAAGAAAATGTTCCTTGCTCAGTTGTCAATTCTTCTACTACTACTTGACTCCATCTAGATCAAGATGGGAGATAAAAAGAACTACTACTAGTACTTCTAATATTTTTTTCTTTTTGGAAAAAAAAGAACAATTAGTACTTGACTATGTGGAAGGAAGGACTCTGTCTTTGAGAAAAAGAAATAGCAGTGAGCGTACTGTCAACGCTTCACCTAACCACATCTTGGTTATGACATCATGGGATTAGCCTGCCTAATTAGTCTAGTTTGTTGCAGCTACACTCTTTATTATGTGGAAGAAACCGCTCACAGATCCATGCATATTTGCATGGAAATTCAATGAGGTCAACTAGCTAGGTTTCGTTCCAAATTACCATCATTTCTCTGTGTGCCGTGTGCAATCATACAGCTAGTTAGCAGCCCTGATACGGATTAATCAACATTCTTTTTTCCTTGCATAATTAATTAACCTAACTCGACTCTGCATATATACTACTTGTGGATCGAGTTTATAACTGGCCAGAGAGAACTACGTCTATTACGCACGAGTGACTCAACACTGTCGTCATCTTTAATCAAATTTAATCTGACCGAAAAAAAAAATAAATTCAGAGAGTGAAGCATGTGTATAGTATTAGTAGTGCAGGTGCAGCCACATCACATACATACATTTGTTTTTTCTTTTTCTTTCAGATGCCAATAATGCCAAATACATAAACTGGGATACATGCAGAAGATGGCAAGATTGTAAGACGGCCGGGAGAAGGCAATCTTAAACCTGTTTTTTTATACTCGGCAATTAATTAAACTGGAGTACCTGTAAATCTATGTTTGGTTTGCGGTATTGGGCCGATGGGCCAAAAGAAATACTACTAGTATAAACCGGGCTGGTCGGCTGGACGCAAGGACCAAATCTATCAGGCTGGGTGGTCTGCAAAGCAGGGAGATGGGTCGGAATCGGAAGAGCCCTCGCCATATGCCATCCAAATCCATACTATTGATTTGTCTTTTTTGTTTTTGTTGTCATCAGGTATAATCTAGTTTCGACAATTCTGCAAGTGTTTCATTTTGTACTTGTGCTTGCTTTGCTTAAAAAAAAGACAAATCAAACCAGTCGGCAAATAATTTCGATCCCCTTTTTCTCACACTCCTAAAGATTGAGCCAGGGGCACATTGGTCAGTACACATGCTAATTCTTGGCTCAATCTAGTGAAAATGCAAAAAAAAAAAGCAGCTTGTTGGCAGTCGTTGACGATGGCATTTTAACAAGCCATTTTGCGGTATGGCATTACAGCGAAACCCACTCTTGAAAGGCACGATGTCAATTTTCTCCTCATCTACATGGATCGAATTGTTTCTAAATGAGAAATTTGAAGATAAAGAAAGTTTGTATTCTGTTCGGATTTGACTTGGACAGCCTGGACAGTCATACGATAAAACAGTCATGAAATTCGCATACAGATTCCGTTTTGGACGTTTGAGCACTTGTTGAAAAGCTAATTTAATAGCCCCGTCAAGGTTTTGATCCCACCTTCATATTCCTCGTGGTTTATCCACAATCTATAAAACCAGTCGATGGTTGTTGCAATAGAAGTTTCTTTCTTCGTGTCCAAGTCATGTAACGGGTTTGTTTCTTATTTGGAGGTTTTAGGATTGCTATATAAGCAATAGGTGTGCATTCATTGTAAAAGAGACTCGAAATTATGAATTAAAAAAATAGTTTCTATCTACAACCATGTGGGTGTCTCACCACCTATTCTTTCTATGATTTCACGCGATCACATAGAGGAGAATAGGATGATCATATCAAGATTGTACTTACTTTCTGCTGGGATTAAGGGTTCGATAGTTATGTTTCATATGTTGTGGTTTTGTGATGGCGAGATAAAAGGTGTGCTACACGGATAGCGTGTTATTCATCTACTTCGTCAAAAGTGCTTAGTGTTTTAGATGGTTTGGCCCATCTCTCATATCACTCATGTTTTAACCATTTATGCTTCTTAGGAATAAACCGTTAAATATATTTTTTTAGAAACACATTATTAACTCATACGCTCACAATACATACTCACCCTTAAGAACATGTACACACACCATGTACCTATGAGCACACTGAAAGACTGGATTGATATATTTTGGCATATCTTGGAATTGATAAAGTCATCACGGATGTCCTATGATCACCTTTAAAAGACTAGACCTGCATAGTTTGGTATATCTCGAGATTGATGAAGTCACTATGGACACTTTACTATCGATGGTACGTCACCTATCACTAAAAGTATAATTAATCGAAAATATGAGTACCCATGGCAAAACTAGAATCCGAGTTCAATAAAATCATTGGAAGCAACTTGGGGGTGTTTAAATCCAGGGATGTAAAGTTTTGGCGTGTCACATCCGATATACGAACACACATTTGAAGTATTAAACATAGTTTAGTTTAATAATAAAACAAATTACAGAATCCGCCTATAAACTGCGAGACGAATTTATTAAGCCTAATTAATCTGTCATTAGCAAATGTTTACTGTAGCACCACATTGTCAAATCATGAAGCAATTAGGCTTAGACTCTGTTTTAAGTCCCTATCACATCGGATGTTTGGATACTAATTATAAATATTAAACGTAGACTATTAATAAACCCATCCATAATCTTGGACTAATTCGTGAGACAAATCTATTGAGCCTAATTAATCCATGATTAGCCTATGTGATGCTACAGTAAACATTCTCTAATTATGAATTAATTAGGTTTAAAAAATTTGTCTCGCAAATTAGCTTTCATTTATGTAATTAGTTTTTGTAGCTAGTCTATATTTAATACTCTAAATTAGTGTCTAAATACAGAGAGTAATTTTTAAGTCCGTGGATCCAAACATCACCTTAAAAAGATTCGTCTCGCAAATTAGCCGTAATATGTACAATTAGCTTTGCTTTAAGCCTATATTTAATATTTCATACATGTGTTCAAACGTTCAATGTGACAGGATGAAAAATTTTAAGGTGGGATTTAAAAAGGGTTGGATGGAAGAACATCGGGTAGTTGCGTCGTGTCTGCGTTCTATACCCATGGTTCCTAACTTCCCTCACTCGTTTTCCGCGCTCACACTTTTCAAACTACTAAACGGTGTGTTTTTTACAAAAAATTTTTATACAAAAGTTGCCCAAAAAATTCATATTAATCTATTTTTTAAAAAATAGTAAACACTAAATTAATTACGCGCTAATCGTTGCTCCGTTTTCCGTGCAAAAGAGTGAGGTTCCCAACCCTCACTCCCGAACAGAGAAGATCACGAAAAGCTCGGCTTGGCGATAGCCACATGCATCCTCCGGGGTGGGCTGTTCGTGGGCCTCTCCCCACGTTGCGATGCGACGAGGTAATCATCAACCCAACAAAATTGATTAAACAAAACATTGTTATTAATAATAAAAATAATGAAGAAGTTCACAACTCACAACAGAACAACGGAAAACACACACAAAAAGGGGAAGAAAATCACGCAAAGAAAGGGAAAAAAAATAACTCGAAGAGTCCGTTTTTTCTTCCTCCTACTCGCCCCAATCCAATCCACTCCACCGTACCACTCGCCGCCGCCGCCGCCGCCGACGACGAAGCCGGCGCCGCCGCCGGAGCCGATCCCCCGCGGGCCCACCCTCCTACTTCGCGCTTCCTCGGCCGAAATCCCTACCGGGTCGAATCGCCCCGCGGCGCGCCGCTGATCCGCGCCGCCGCGCCCTAGCCATCCCGGGGACGGGCGGCGGCTGCTGCTGCTGCTGCCGATGCATGGTTGGTGGTGGCGGGTAGGTGAGTAAGAGAGTAGGCGTACCATGTTGCAGTGTCTGGAGGGGGTGAAGCAGCTCTGCGGCGTGCTACTCAAGTGCTGCGACCTCGACCTCAAGCAGCCCAAGGGGCTCGAGGATCCCGAAATCCTCGCCAGGGAGACCGTCTGTACGTCCTCTCTCTCTCTCTCGCTTGCTCGTGCAGTGTACTTGAGTGTCGATTGTTTCACTTGAACTGAAATTAATTGTGTTCCCTTTTTGTTTCGCGGCGCATGTGGCATTGGGGGTGGTGGTCTGCTCGTTTGTGCGTGCAGTTAGTGTGAGCGAGGTTGAGGCGTTGTATGAGCTGTTCAAGAAGATCAGCAGCGCGGTGATCGATGACGGACTGATCAACAAGGTCAGTGGGCTAATAATGCCCATCTGTTCAACTGAAAAAGGATGTCGTTTGTTATGATGATTTCATGATTCTTATGTTATATGGCCCTCTGGGGGTTGTGATCATTTTGGGTTGGTATGGTGCAGGAGGAGTTTCAGTTGGCGCTGTTCAAGACCAACAAGAAGGAGAGTTTATTTGCTGACCGTGTAAGACCAACAATAATATAACTTGCCTACCATGGAAAATATCCTGTAACTGTCTACATTTGAAGTGAAATCAATTATGAAATTAGTTTGGTTATGCTCTGTAGCATCTTGATGATGCTATACATTGTCCAAACAATCAATAGAGAATGATGTTGCTGCATAATTTGCTTTCTGCTAACATCAGTCAAACAGAGAATGATGTTGCCACATAATTTGCTTTCTGCTAACAACGAGTGCATTTCTTTCCCTGTCTTGCAGGTATTTGATTTGTTCGATACAAAACACAATGGTATTTTAGGATTCGAAGAATTTGCCCGTGCGCTCTCAGTATTTCATCCAAATGCACCTCTCGACGAGAAAATTGACTGTAAGTGTAAATGCATCTGGGTGGGTAGCTTAACTACAAAATATAGCGCCTTACTGATAGGGAAGTCTATAACCTAAAAATAGAAAAGGACACATCTATGGTTGAAAATAGATAATGATCACTTAACATAATGCAACATGCTCATATGTGACAAATGCTACTACCTATTATGTACTTTGCAAGTTTCCTTAAAACCGCAATGCATAGATTCAGCTTGCTCTAATTGCATAAATAGTAACTGTTCATACTAAGGAACAAATTAAAGGCTAGAAAGGCACAGTTTAACTACAAATAAGAACACTCATGCTTTTTTCTTTTTTTCTTTTTGGTCTAGTCTCCTTTGTGCTGGATGTATTAATTGTTTGGCTACTGACAGTGGCTGACAAAATTTCACAATTAGACAAATGGGAAAGTACTACATGGTGCTACAGTTAATTCACATTATGCAAACATGTACTGTAGCATCTTAGCATTAACCGAAAAGAAGCTCATAGTTATATATTGTGCAATGTAAACTATAGCATGTGAGATATCCTACCATTTTGTCTATCTGATTTCTGTTTAAATCATGTAATTTTTAACCATTACCGCTTGTCATGTATAATATACACGCCTTCATACCATGTGGAGCCAGCAAACTATATTTAATGTTTAAGTTAGCCCTCTTATTTACTTGATCCTCTGACATGTATTATGCAATTCATTTTTGTGCCATCTCAATGGATATAAGACTAAAATGCAACAAAACAAACAGTTCACAATATCCCTGAGATCAGACTTAACACCTGTATTTTATTTACCCTTTTTGGGTTATTTTGTGCTGATCCGAGAGTGGTCTTTATTGGAAGAAATGTTAACTAGGGGTGTTAATCTCTCTGCTTGGTTGATAATGCATCGCTATGCATTGAAATAAACCGGTTGCATGTTTTATTAGCATATGTTATGCCCTTTTTTTTTCTGTGTCTCTTGCTTTTATCTTCAATGTTGTGTGTGAAAAGAAATTCTTGCATTAACTCAATAATCCTTGCAGTTTCTTTCCAGCTATATGACCTCAAGCAACAAGGGTTCATTGAAAGACAAGAGGTACTTCTCTAATCAGCATGTTATGTTTCTCTCATAAAAGTCAGCATGTAGTATGTGTGAAGGTAACTTTACAATTAGAGTAAATTTCATATTGGACCATCGTTTTTTACCCATGTTGCAACTTGGACCAGGGCTAAACTACTTTGGCCTAGTACTCTTACAAAATATTTCACCTTAGGCCCTGTTCTTCTTCAACTCTCCTTCCTCTCTTCTTCCTCTCTTTCCTCTCATAGAGCCATGTGTGCCATGGCCCATGGCAGATCTAATCAGCACTGCTATGACCTGGGCATACAGATCAAAGCTCAAGCTCCATCCACAAGCCATCCCTGTGCTCTCGCTAGTTCTTCTCTGATGGAAAAAAAAAGAGGAAGTGAAAGGTCACTGTGTGCTGCTCGCTTCCTGGCAAGGTGCCTCAAATTTCCTGCACGCAGTGCCTCTACTCACTGGCTATTGGGGCTGCCATCTTCCATGGAAAGAGAGGGATCCCATTGGTGTTGGTAGAGCTCTCACCAGCCTCAACCAAGATGCTGTGCGCTCAAGCTTGAGCACCGGCCGCACGGCCTCTATGGGTGTTAATCTGGCACTCGAGCTCAAATCCATTCTTTGTTGGTGAGCCCAAGATCCTCGAGCTCCTCTGCCTTTGGCTGCGTCGCTGACTTGCTGGCATGGGAGGCTCACCATCGTGGGTGAGTTGACGGAGAATAAGACTGGCGGTGAATTAGGATCGGAGAGGACTGGGGTATCGGTCACTGCCATGCGGGCTAACTAGTCCAAGGTGCAAAGGTTGGTAAGAAAACCCAATCTTAATTGAAAACATCTTCAATTGCATAGTCCAATATGCAATTTAGGTAATAAAAATTAGTCCAAAGTTCAATTCACTCTTTTAATTATGATCGTACCATTTAAAAGTCCCGCTATTGGCTAGTATGCTGGAAAACCAACCAGATGCCAGCTCATTTTCTTCTGCAAGACCTCCCCTCTTCTCCCTTTGCATTTTTTTTACATTTTTTATGGGTGCTTTCATTGTCTTCTCTATTCACTAATGATCATGTATTATGAAAAATGCTATGGAACTAACCCAATTCAAGGCTACTTGTGGCCATATGCCTCCTTGTGGTTACCCTAGCACCACTTTCTTGAGCAGCGAATAGCATAGTTCAAAGTTTGTGTTCAGTGTAATTGATATATGTGTAAAATATTTGTGTCATAACTCAGAATACCATTTGCCTTCTGCAGATAATGCAACTGATCTTCTATCTTTTTTATGTTATACTTAATTGTTTCCTTTTTTGCCTATTAGGTTAAGCAAATGGTTGTTGCAACACTTGCTGAGTCGGGAATGAATCTTTCGGATGAAGTCATAGAGAGCATCATTGATAAGGTAAACATGAGTTGTTTACTTCAACGTATCAATCTGGGGATAGTTTTTTCATGATCATTTAATCAATCATGATGAGCATCATTTTCCCTTTTTATGCTCTCGATATGCTGATGCAAGTACCACACTTGTTTCAACTTATGAACTTATACTCTGAACATGTTTGTCTCTACAATGTGTGCTTGCAAATGGATATTGCTTTAGCTAGTGGCACTCCTAGTGTCATTTATGTTGTGTTTTGCAAATCATAGTTAAGTCTTACTGCCAAAGCTTTGTATTGACATCTTTTGCAGAAATATGATATATTTATAGCAGTGTTGAGCAATCTTACTAAGTTGCCACAAACACAAAAATTGTCTGCCTGATAACACAATTTATATTTGGACCTACAATTGTGATGCTACATCAGTACTCCTAAATGGAAATATAGTTATATGCACATATGATTGCAGCGGCTGTAGTATGTATATCTTATTAATTTACATCATTATTAGACTCATCGTGTTTTTTTGAAGAAGAAAATCTAGCCATACCAAAATAAGAATTATCAATTCTTTTATTTTCGTTCGTAACTAATGAGATGATTTACAGTTACTTTTTTAGTCTTAGTCTTAGTACGACTCCTTTCAAGTTTTGCATTTATATTTTGTCACATTTTTCTTTTGTGAGGCACAATGGTTAAACTATCCATAAATGTAATATTTTCTGTTAACCTTCTGGTTTCTGGTAACTGGGCATTTATTTGATCAATCATACAAAGTGATATTTTCATTGTTTTGCCAAATCCAGCGTGGATCAGGCCAGCCCACTGGCCACGCTATACAGGCTTTGTTGCTAATTGCTACCTTTGTACATTTTACAAACTGACTAGTTGCTGTGATTGTTTATATTATTCTGGCTGTTTATATTATTATGTTTATATTGCACATTTTACAAGACATTTGAGGAGGCCGACACAAAACATGATGGGAAAATTGATAAAGAAGAATGGCGCAATCTAGTTCTCAGACATCCTTCTTTACTGAAAAACATGACACTCCAATATCTCAAGTAAGATATGTTAAACTTGTCTGTGTATTTCTCTATTTGCAACTGATGATCATTTACGTTTCTCCCATCTGGAGCTATATCATAGGACACTATTGCATTTTGAGTTATGGCAAGAAGATTAAAATCTGTATGGCTCACAGGTTGCTCTTGAGCGAAGGATACTAGAGACTATTTGCGAATATTATTCCTAAATTACTAGTACAGTATCTTAGTTGTAAACAGAATATGAAACAGCATGGATTATCTAGATGATATTTGAATACAGTGAAAATAGTATGCTATCCCAGAGCATTGGTTTTTAAGTTCTTATTAGTGGTTCAGATTCAACGAAGCCAGTTTGTGGTCAGCCCCTGATTCAAAAGGATATATTAAAGCATCTGTTGTCGGTATTTCAGAATTTGTCTTCCTGTGGAGGGACGCAAAATATAATTTTACACGTACAGTATTAAATACCACAAAACTGTACATATTCTGGACAAACTAATGTTTTTATTTCACAAAATTACACATAATTTGGTAGGACATTTTGTGAAACTACGTATTTGGTGATTTTATTAAATATGATAGAATCTAAATGCGGAACCACCTATCAGACAACATATGTGTAATTATGGTCATGGTGTAGTTTTCTGATAATGTTACATGTGTATGTATAATGTATTTCTCCAAAGTTTACTCCTGCGTATGTGCTATGCATGCATTTTTAGACTCTTAACTTGTTATTAAAAGATGTGGACAGGGTTGTTTCACAACAAGTAGCCAGGGCTTAATATATGATGTTAAAATCTTCAGTTGTACATAAAATAGAGAAATTGTTCTACCTAGAAACTTACCTATTTTTTTTGACTTGTGCTTTGGTAGGGATTTCCCTTCTTCGTTTCTCTGATTGTAGTTTAACTTCAATTGCTATATTGTCAACTTCGGTTACAAACTTTTTTGAATTTTCGTTTTCATTTTTGTGCAGAAAATTTAAATTTAGATAATTCCACAAAGTGATTGTTAATTTTGGTTGTTTGTGTTGCTAAATATAACTTGAGAACTTCTCAGTTTTATGATATGTTTTAAATTAATACTACTAATTGCTTTTTACCACATTTCAGAAAACACATATTTTGTTAAACCTATCAAAAACTGTACTCTTTCCAAAATCACACATGTTTCTCACTGAGGGGTAGGTCTCAGCACACCATCCACACATCTAGGTGGATTTCACATGTTATGTTTGTTGGCGTTTACCATGAATCAACAAATATTTAGTTTACTTAAATGTTTTGCAATTAATTCTTTGAAACACAGACTGAAATAAGTATTCTGATAGCTAATGTCAAATAGGTGTATTTTTGTGATGATTTAGTCTGGATACTTTTTTTCTTCCTATTTTACTTCGATTGCTCTTTGGTTACTCCATTTCACAGACCTAAGTACCTAACCATATCAACTTTGGCAGGGACATCACAACTACATTTCCAAGCTTTGTCTTCCATTCTCAAGTCGACGATACTTGAAATCTGAGAATTTCCCCCTCCAATGGAATGCCAGAAGACAGTCTCGTTGCTTTTGAGGCTTTGCAATGAGTAGTTTTTGGTTCAGCACTTCATCTGAAGCCATAAAGTTCCAGAGATGATCACATATTGCAGTGGAGAAATCAAACATTTCCGTATTGTTAATAATAGTTCTTTTTCTTGCTTTTAGCCGGTGTGTGATATCTGTCTCAAGTTTCTTTTCCCTATTTTCTGTTTTTTTTTCTTTCTGTTGGTTTATTGGTTAGTAGTCGATCTAATTGTTTGAAGAAACCTCCGACCGTGTATAAAGCTTCCTTCTAGTGAACTGTATTTAAGTCAGGAAGTTTTCTATTGTATATTGCAGATTAATTGAATGGCTCAGGAATTCCCTAGTTGATTTTTAAGTGTTTTACCGTCTGAATAATAATATTTTACAATCAGATTTCGATATTGTATTTTTTTTGGTACTCAGCCCCATACCTTTAGCATTTAAAATTTATTCTAAAATATAGCTAATTATTTCTCTACCTTTCTATCTTTCATTTAAGAGTGAAGTGTACCAGCGGTACCTAAACTTGTGCGGGTGTATCATCTAGATCCTTAAACTCTCAAAATGCATTTTTGGGTCCCCGAACTTGTCTTCGGTATCATATAGGTCTAAACGGGCTCCGATCTGCTCCATCCGCTGACGTGGTATCCACGGTAACGCTACGGGTCAGTTGGGACCCACATGTCAGCTCTGTGCATCATCTCCACTGCCCTGGGAGCCAAGAGAGAGAGAGAGCAGGAAAGAGAGACGCCGGCGGTGCTCGACGCATCACGCGTGGCCAGGACGTGGCAACGCTGAGCTCCTCCCTTTTCTTCCTCAGACGTGTCGCCTTCTCTTCTACATTCTTCTGGAGCCGAACTACTCGGACGAGAGAGAGCCCTATGCCTCTCCGTCGCCCACATTCTCGTCGTCGATTGCGAAGAAGATGACGCTCGCTGTTGCCGACGAGTCGTCTCCATCGCCAAATCTTTCCCATTCCAAACTTCCCACATTATGCCGAGCAAATCTCCTTTTGACCCCCATCTCGTTTTATCCACTGCAGCAACGGAAACGCGACCTTGCCCACGAGAGCTCCGGAACTCGCACCAGGCGCCGCCGCCATGACGTCGTCGCTGTTCCGGCCGACATGGTCCATCTCAAGCCAAGCCATCGCGCCAAAGTCATCGCCTCACCATCATGGCCAAAAGCCCTCAAGAAATTTTAAGAATCGTGCACAGACGAGGGAGATCGCCGTCATCTTCTCCAACTCCGGTCGCCGAGTGCCATCGCCAATCCCTCTCTCCCCGGTGAGCCACGGACTAATTAATCGTGCATGCAACTCTTTAGGGACCTCACTAACCACCCATGCACCTTCTCTAAGCATTCCACCGCTCAAGCGAGCCGTCGCCGTGAAGCCGACGTTATCCACCACCGCCGGGCTGTCTTTTCCATTGCCGCTGTTACCCAGACCTCGCCATGCCGTAATCAAGTTCCAGTGAGCACCCAGGGACCTGCTAGACTCGCATGCATGCATCTTTTTGCACTAAATTGGGCTGGGACTCTACATGCACAGGCGTATTGAAGACCACCGCCGCTCGCGACACCACTGGCATCGATTCCGGCCACCTCCGGCGACGAGACCACCTTCAACAGGATCGCAAGGAAGTCCTCAGCATTTCTTCTTGTGGTTGTGTCGGCCGAAGAATCGCCGTTCGCCAACGGCATCATCGTGAAGGAACGCCGACCGGCGAACTCTGTGGCTGCTGCTGCTTTCTCCCTGTGCCTATGACAGGTGGGCTCCGCTCCATTAGCACGTACAGGATTTGATTAGAGTAAGTTTAAAACATGTAAGGTTCTTTCTGTAAATATTGTTATCATATCATATATTTATTTTTATAAATATGACTGACATGTGAGTCCCCACTGATACGTAGGCGCTACCGTGGCATGCCACGTCAGCGGATGGAGCGGGTCGGTGCCCGTTTGGACCTATATGACACCTAAGACAAGTTTAGGGACATAAAAATGCATTTTGAGAGTTTAGGGATCTAGATGACACATCCGTATAAGTTTAGGGACCGCTGATGCACTTCACTCTTCATTTAATTTCTTCGGTTTTTGTCTTGATCAATCACAATCTTTACCTATTTAATTGGTTTACCCTCTAAATAATCATAATAATATTTTACAATCAGTTTTCGATATCTTATATTTTACTTTTTGCAGCAGTTGCGTTCTTTATATTGTTCATTACATGTGTATATTAATTGGCGATGCCGTCATTTGGACCCATGCACATGTTTTATGGGTTTTCACATTTCAGTCCTCACTTTTCAGACCTTTGACTTGCATAGTTTCAGTGTCAAAAGAATCAACAGTTTTTCCCGGGTGCTCGTCTTTACGACCATGCCGACCTCCTCTTGCTGACTGACACGTTGACAAAATCATGACGTCTCAAGCTCATAGATACGTACAGTAACTCATTAATTCCGACATATGTCTACCCAGTGGGGGCATTTGCGAACAAACAGCAATTTAGGCCCTGTTTAAATTCTACCCTAAAATTTTTCATCCTGTCACATCAAACGTTTGACACATACATAGAGTATTAAATATGGATAAAAAAAACTAATTACACAGTTTGTGTGTAAATTGCGAGACGAATCTTTTAAGCCTAATTGCGCCATGATTTGATAATACGGTGCTACAGTAAACATTTGCTAATGACGAATTAATTAGGCTTAATAAATTTGTCTCGCTGTTTACAGGCGGGATATATAATTTGTTTTGTTATTAGACTACGTTTAATACTTAAAATGTGTGTCCATATATCCGATATGACATGGTAAAAATTTTCACCTCTGGATCTAAACACCCTCTTAGACATATTATTCCAAGTATAATACATTGATAATATTGTGCATTTCATGGTGTTGCGTTTAATTATAGTTGTTACCTCAGTTATTTGTAAACATTGTTCAAACTTCTAAATTGTGCTTATTTGTGCTGCACACTCCCCCACCATCGAGCTGTGCTGCTACCACCAAATTATCCCCTTCTTGCTCTTTCTCCACGTGGTTGGCTCTTCCTTTCTACCGCACGGATTGGGGGTGGCGTGGTCGACCCAAGCTCATCGCCTCCACCACGCCCTCCCTCGTCTCGTCAGGCTGCTTATCTCCTTCCTCCTTTTCCTCTTCGTTGTCGGTTCTCTCCTTCCACCCGCATGCGAATCGGGAGTGGCATGACTGACCTGAGCTTGCCGTCGCCACTGTATAACAGCCCTTCCTCCTTCTTCCTCTTCGCTGCAGGTTCTCTCCTTTCACCCGCATGCGAATTGGAAGTGGCATAACCATCTTGAGCGTGCCATCGCCACTGTGTAACAGCCCCCCCTCCTTCAGAACCGCGTAACCAGCCTATCCGACGGGCCACTTACACATACCACCCCATTTACACTTTCATCATCGCTTCGTATAAAAGGGTTATATGGTTGGAGCGAAGAGACCTCATAAATTAGTTCCACCCTTACTAAACTAGTCAAATATTACTAATCATACGCACACAGCTCTCATTGGTCACACAGTATGTCAGCATCTGCACACAGCTCTCATTGGTCACACAGTATGTCAGCATCCTCCCTCGCCATCGCACCGCCCATGCCGGTGCACGGCTGCCCCCTTTCACCTACACGTGGATCCAGACGGTGGTGGATGAAGCTGTAGCTAGTGGATCTCTGGTCATAACAGCGGTGGCCTCCCTAAATCGACTCGACACACCGTCGTCTCTCTCTAGCCCTACCTCAAGCACCCACTTGCACGCCATGTACTGTCCTAAGGAAATCAAGGTCAGATCTCGTGTATTGCTTCTTGATTTGCTCGATTGTGTTGGACTGCAATCCTGTGGTTTCCTCCAATCTGATTTTTTTTGCGTTATTTCATATGTTTCACAGTCGAAATCGAATCCCCTTCTTCACTTGTTTCTTATTCTTATTTCTTACTATTCCCATGCATATATGGCGCAACCATCGCAATGGCAATGGTTCTGCTTCTGCAACCATCGCAACTATTGTTGCAGCATCGCATGTTGTTCTCTTATATTATTTTCTAATGATTTTATTTTTAGGCAAAATTTGCTACATGACACTTAAAAAACGTGTAATTGTCTGAGAGACACCGCAAAAACGAGACACGGCTGATAGACGCTACAAAAATTGTGTAATTAGCTATAGGACACCGAAGACAATATTTTATAATATTCAGGTCAAAAGAGGTGAGAATTTTTTTTGAAATGGCAAGATTGCCCCTAGCTCCATCTTCCTCCACCTGAAATCACACCCAAAAAAAATTAGCAAGGAGCAGCCGCCGGCGAGTTTGTCCTGTGGAGCGGGTAGCGGCAACTGCGCACCAAGAGCGGCCGACGGCGCGGAGGCGGACGCGGTCGGGGAGGGAGCGCGGGGGCGGCAGCGTGGAGCGCTAGCAGGAAGCGGCTGCGCGCGTGGCCGGCGACGGCCATTCGACGCGTACGTGTTCGACATCAGCACCGAAAACCATTCGACGCGTACGTGTTCGATTAACGCCTATACTCAGCCGGAGGAGGAGCAGAAGGGCGTCCACGGCGGCGGTGGCGTCGCCGGAGCGCAGGTGGAGGCGGCGCTGAACCACAAGAACGTGGAGGCACTCCCGGAGGACGAGACGGTGGAGGGCGGCCCAGAGGACGCGTGGGTGCCCGACCACGAGACTGGCGTCTTCGTCCCCGCCGACAAGGCCGCCGTCTCCGGCACCGAAAACCATGACCACTGCGGAGCGGCGGCGGCGGCCGGTGGCTCGCCGTCGGTGCTTGACTAGGCTGTGTTCGTCCGCGAGGAGGACATGGAGAACGTCGAGAGGCCGGCCATCGACATGGCCGCTGCCAATCACAAGCCCAAATGAGCATCAACTTCTTGCAGCAATAACCAATAAAGCCAAATAATGCCTTCTGAAATCTCATGTACAGCTAGAAGTAGAAAATTTCCAGTGGAAATCTTGCATCCTGCTTGGTTCTATGAATCTTGTTATCTACAGTGATCAATCGATCAATCGGATAACCTGTTCTTTGATGAATCTTGTTGTGTTTTTATCGGATGGAATTTGCTGGGATTGCTTTGAATTCGTGCACGACGCCATCGATCTCGATGAGGCTGCAGCCGGGGACCTTGTCGATCTCGTTCCTCCTCATCTGCCTCCTCACCTTCACCGCCTCGCCGTGCCGGCCATTCGACGTGTACGTGTTCGACATCAACACGTAGTCGCCGGCGTCTGCGTCGGCGTCGGTGGTGCGCCGCCGCATCACCCGCTCGGCGCGCTCGACGTCACCGTGCGCGCGGCATGCGACGAGCCGCGAGCCCCAGATGAGCGCGTCGGGGTGTGCTGGCATTGCCGCGACGAGC